CTTCTGCCAGCAGAAGTGTAACTTCTGTAAAATGAGAGAAACCAACTGAATGCGTCAACCACTGTTTCTGAACTTGGTTCTCTCTTGTATGTACTCACCTGTGCACTTGTGTGTGTGTGTGTGTGTGCGTGTATGTATGTATTTTTATAGAGATTTGGGATTGACCTGTGGAAAACAGCTCTGGGCCAGCTGAGTGGTGATGTGTGCTGTCAGATGTAGCAGGTTTCTTCTAGAAGCATCTCTGGAGAGTCCTGATCATTATCAGCCATGCTGCTGACAGCGGAGTGAGATACAGATATCACAGTGAAACCTCAATGTCACTCCTGTGGTTTTGCACAAAATGAGGTCATGTTTGTTTTTATATATAGGAACTCCCAGGAGTCAAAAAGAAATTAAAGAACTTTAAAAAAAATCCAGTAAGTTTTACGTGACCTTTTAAGAGAGATGATTACAGAAATGGGTCACAACTGCGTCTTTTCACAGCAAGCTGAGGAAGAATGAATACTCACCAATGGGGTAAATGAATAAAGGCCTGACTTAAAGAATCAGAACGTTCTGGACAGGGGAGGAATTACAAACTGGGGAGAAGAACCGGTCATCTATGACTGACCCTCACGTGAAGATGAAAGAGACACGGCATTAACCGTCTTTCTGATATGGAGGGTGGAGAATAGAAGAGGGCTCAGAAGTACAAGTGGAACTGTCAGGTGGAGGTCAGCAGTCACAGGGTGGCGGGTAAGAGAGGGCCAGAAGAACAAGGCTCACTGTCAGGTGGAGGTCAGCAGTCGCAGGGTGGCGGGTAGGAGAGGGCCAGAAGAACAAGGCTCAGAGTGGCCTTGGTGATGGCCCTGAAGGGTGCCGACGACCAATGAGTGGTGTGAGGCTGCAGGGATGGTGGGAAAAACAGCTTTCCAATGATGTGGTCAATGGATGGGATGCTACATGGGAGCAGGTTGTTTTGGACACCCAGGAGCACAGGACATACATCTTCACATATATGAGGGGGCTTCAAAAAGATCATGGAAAAATTTGTATCATCATTTAATTCTGTTTCACTCCCCCCAAACTTTTTGAAATACACTTGTAGTGCAGTTAGTAAGCAGGATCCTATGTTTGCTGTGTGTGTGTGTGTGTGTGTGTGTGTGTGTGTTCCTGCTCAGGTGAGTAAGCCTTTGTTGTTTGGTGTGGGGTCACTCAATGACCAGACCCTATGCATGGACTCATTAGAACTGTAATCTTTTAATTTTTTAGGAGTCCATTGTTAATAATCAAATGCCTCTGGAGACTGAGACTTTAATCCTGCAGTGAAAGTCACTTTGTCACATCAGATTTTAAGAAGGAAATCAACTAAAATGGAAGGGGATATAGGAGAGAAAGTTTTTGATGCTAGAGGCGAAGAAATCAAGATAGAGAGAAAGCACCTGCAGAAATCTAATAACCAGATCCCAGGCTGAGATGCAGCAAGTGTGGCTTGGTAAGGGGCTGGAGCTCCTTAAACCCCTCTGCACAGGCCCAAGGTGGCTCTCATCACCAGGGTGGGCTGGGTCTGCAGCGAGAAACTGGTGGTCACAGCCGTGGGTCAGTTGGCCTTAGTGTCACAGCAGCCTTTGAGGCCCTCAGTAGCACTTTGGTTTGGGGTAGTGCTTGCTTCAGTGTTCCTAGTGCAGTGTCCTGTACGTACTCGGTCTGTAGGAATTTGTTAGTGTTGAGAATTGAGGACGGCAGAATTAGAGAACAATATGACTGGGCAGGATGGGAACATACATGCATCCTATTCCTCATAGGCAACAGGTGAGAGAGATCTGGAATATCTCCCTCTCCAGCTCAGCGAGACTGAAGCTGGGAAACTTTACAAACACACTTGAGAAGAGGATGCTGCCAGTGGGATTCTGAATCCTTTTCAAGGGCCTGGTAGCTCTATGATGCTCCATGGACACTGCCTTTAATTAACCATGACAACAGCCTGCCACCCTTTCCAGTCCTGGCCCATCTTGTGTAAATTCATGCCCAGACCACAGACTACAAGAATTGTGAAGATCTAGTATTGTGCAAAGCACTCCTGGCCATTGAGGCCACACGGATGTGTATTTGCTTCTTGGCCCCATCCCATAACAGGTGTGTGACCTTGGGCGAGTAGTTAACCTCTCCGAGATTTAGCTTTCCCTCCTGAAGAAGGAAAATACTCATCTCCCTCGCACACACATGGTACGATACCTGGAACTCAGTGAGTGCTAGTCTTGCTTCCTTCCACCCTATGGTAGGCTTAAATGGGACCTGGAAGAGCCTAAGGCGGGCACAAATTCATCAGGCACACAGGGCAACTTAACAACACATGTCTGTTGCATTTAGTACGTGGATCTGTGTATCACAGGTGCAGTGTAAGCAAACATCAGATTGCAAACCTTTTCTCTTTAAAAAGTTCTTTTTCAAAATTGCTATTAATTTTTTTCTTCTAGATTACTAATTTCTATCAGAAGGAACAACAAATGTGAATTTTATGCAAACTCACTTTTGCTCAGTAAGGCATTTAAACTGCTAATACAGTTATGCTGAGGCAGCAGCTCTGGACTTTGGTTTACTCAACAGTAAGAGAAGGGGATTGGAATAAACTGCCGTGAGAAATATAAAGCCTAATGCAAATGCACACACATTCAGAAAACAACATCAGGAGTTTGTTTATAGACTCCGTGAAACCAAAGTCACTCTCCCAACCTGGGCTAAGAATCTCTGAACTTGGGGCCGGCCCGGTGGCGCACTGGATAAGTGCGCCGCTTGGGAAGCGCGGCGGCGCTCCCGCCCGAGGGTTTGGATCCCACATACAGACCGGTTCCTGCTCACTGGCTGAGCGAGGCGCGGGAGCAACACCGAGGGTTGCAATCCCGTTGCCGGTCCCTGGTCCGGTATGGGGGCAACACTGAGGGTTGCGATCCGTTGCCAGACACGGAAAAAGACAAAAG